CTGTGTCCTGCTTTGTAACTGCCTTCCAGTTGTTGTGGAACTACAAGTCCCATCATGCCTCTGCCTGTGGGAGTCGTGCTTGTAACTGTCAGCCCTGCAATGCTTCATGATTCTTGTAGTTTCACAACAGCTGGAGGGCCGCCAGTTTGACACCCCTGTTGTACATCATTGATCCAGATGGCAAACACTGCTGTGTTAATGCTATTGACCGACTGTACCATATATTTCATTTTTGATATTGCCCATAATTACACTGTATGTGAACTTGTTACTTTGCTAGTCATAAAGGGCGTGCGCTCTCAGCACATATGTATTTTCAAATGGTACGCAAATATTCGGCCGCTCAGTGTCAAGGCCCAGACGCCAAGAGGCCGAATATTTGTGTGCACTTGGCGTCTAGGGGTTAAGGCATACATCCAAAGACCTTAACTGATTAAGTCCATATTATCTATTCATGGGCTTTCCCTGGGTTCTGCGGTGTTCTCCCACAAGCCTGAAACATAGGGCTTGATTTACTAAACCTGGAGAGTACAAAATCTGGTGCAGCTCTGCATAGAAATCAACTTCCAGGTTTTATTGCCAAAGCTTAATTGAACAAGCTGAAGGTAGAAACTAAATGGATATCTTACACAGCTGCACCAGATTTTGCACTCTCCAGCTTTAGTAAATCAACCCCATTCTGTTCAGTTTATTAGCGTCTTCTCAATCCGCCCTTACCCGGTGTACTTATCCAGGTGAAACTCGAAAAATTAGAATATCGTGCAAAAGTTCATTTATTTCAGTAATGCGACTTAAAAGGTGAAACTAATATATGAGATAGACTGATTACATGCAAAGCAAGATAGTTCAAGCTGTGATTTGTCATAATTGTGATGATTATGGCTTACAGCTCATGAAAACCCCAAATCCACAATCTCAGAAAATGAGAATATTGTGAAAAGGTGCAATATTCTCAGCTCAAAGTGTCCCACTCTAATCAGCTAATTAAGCCATAATACCTGCAAAGGGTTCCTGAGCCTTTAAATGGTCTCTCAGTCTGGTTCAGTAGGAATCACAATCATGGAAAAGACTGCTGACCTGACAGTTGTGCAGAAAACCATCATTGACACCCTCCATAAGGAGTGGAAAGCCTCAAAAGGTAATTGCAAAAGAAGTTGGATGTTCCCAAAGTGCTGTATCAAAGCACATTAATAGAAAGTTATGTGGAAGGGAAAAGTGTGGAAGAAAAAGGTGCACAAGCAGCAGGGATGACCGCAGCCTGGAGAGGATTATCAGGAAAAGGCCATTCAAAAGTGTTGGGGACTTTCACAAGAAGTGGACTGAGGCTGGAGTCAGTGCATCAAAAGCCACCACACACAGACGGATCCTGGACATAGGCTTCAAATGTCGTATTCCTCTTGTCAAGCCGCTCCTGAACAACAAACAACGTCAGAAGCATCTTACCTGGGCTAAAGAAAAACAGACCTGGTCTGTTGCTCAGTAGTCCAAAGTCCTCTTTTCTGATGAGAGCAACTTTTCATCTCATTTGGAAACCAAGGACCCCGAGTATGGAGGAAGAATGGAGAGGCACACACTTCAAGATGCTTGAAGTCCAGTGTGAAGTTTCCACAGTCTGTGTTGATTTGGGGAGCCATGTCATCTGCTGGTGTTGGTCCACTGTGCTTCATTAAGTCCAGGGTCAACACAGCCATCTACCAGGAAATTTTGGATAACTTCATGCTTCCTTCCGTAAACGAGCTTTATGGGGATGCTGACTTCATTTTCCAGCAGGACTTGGCACCTGCCCACACTGGCAAAAGCACCAAAACCTGGTTCAATGACCGTGGGATTACTGTGCTTGATTGGCCAGCAAACTCGCCTGACCTGAACCCCATAGAGAATCTATGGGGCATTGCCAAGAAAAAGATGAGAGACATGAGACCGAACAATGCAGAAGAGCTGAAGGCCGCTATTGAAGCATCCTGGTCTTCCATAACACCTCAGCAGTGCCACAGGCTGATAGCTTCCATGCCACGCCGCATTGAGGCAGTAATTGCTGCAAAAGGGGCCCAAACCAAGTACTGAGTACATATGCATGCTTATACTTTTCAGAGGTCTGATATTGTTCTATGTACAATCCTCGTTTTATTGATTGCATGTAATATTCTAATTTTCTAAAATTGTGGATTTGGGGTTTTCATGAGCTGTAAACCATAATCATCACAATTATGACAAATCACGGCTTGAACTATCTTGCTTTGCATGTAATGAGTCTATCTCATATATTAGTTTCACCTTTTAAGTCGCATTACTGAAATAAATGAACTTTTGCACGATATTCTAATTTTTTCGAGTTTCACCTGTATATCCACTGCAGTTCCAGTGACATACCTCTACGTCACTGGAGTTGGAGATTGTACCAGGATGATGCCGCTGCAGGGTGATGCAGCTGCAGGCATCATCCTGGTACAATTTTTTTAGAGCCGACTCTCTTGTAATAGCAATGGAAGTAGCTAACTAACCACTCGATTTGCTATTACAAGCAGTGTAATCTGTAAATTAAAAAGTGCAGCGCTAAAACAGTAAGAATCCAAATAAAAGTAATAAAAGCTATAACAACAACATGACATGAGGTATTTCCAGTACAAACAAACTCTGGTATAAGTGATACGATCGCCCAGATAAAGTGCAATTAAATATATAGCTAAATTAAAGTGCCAAAGGTGGTAGTATGTATATCAGGTGACAGTGACAGTCCCCAATGATTATTAACGGATGAAAAACTTCTATATCCCGGTGTGAACCAGTAGTACTCCGGTGACATGCGACAAATGAAAAGATTGCCCACTCACCAGAAGCACAATCTTAATGCGCATTGATCAAATAAGCCAGAAACGGAGGTCCCCTTTAAGGTACAGCCTGGTACGAGATCCCCTCCTCTATGGATCTGGATGTTAGCGATGTCAGTCAGAGGGCATACTGCAATAGGGTCTGGTCATAGGCTTCTCTCCTCTGGTCCGGATGGATCACCTGGGGTCCTGGGTGGATTTAATTGCTCCTCACACCGGTGTAACGACAAGGTGGGTATCCCATGAAAATCAGATGCAGTATACCCGGGATATAGAAGTTTTTATCCGTTAATAACCATTGGGGACTGTCACTACCACCTTTGGCACTTTAATTTAGCTATATATTTAATTGCACTTTATCTGGACGATCGTATCACTTATACCAGAGTTTGTTTGTACCCTTGGAAATACCTCATGTCATGTTGTTCTTTTAGCTTTTATTACTATTATTTGGATTCTGACTGTTTTAGTGCTGCACTTTTTTTTTACATTGTACATTGAGAAGGTTTGTGGTTCCTTTTTGGTGCACTAGCTACTACTGTAAGCGCTCGCTAAATTCTTATTGTTCTTATAAGCAGTGTAATCTGCCTTCCATGGCTTCAACGGGAGCTCCCGTTCCACCAGGAGTCCCGATCGATCAGCTGCTGTCGTCAACTGGTCACAGAGCTGAACAAACACCAGATCGGCTTTATTTGTCTCTGTAATAGAGTAACCCGGAAGCGTTGACTTGACATCATTTCCGGTTTACGTCGAACCAAATGGCGCCATTTTTAAAAAACAAAAGCATTTGATCTTGGTGTGATTGAATGCTTTTAGGGCAGATGAGATATTTGGGGTCTCATTGACCCCAGATCTCTCCATAAAGAATACCCGTCACATGCCTACTGTTGTCACAAGGGAAGTTTACATTCCTTGTGACAGCAATAAAAGTGATAAAAAAAATACAATTAAAGCAACAGTGTAAAAATTAAAAAAAAAAATGTTAGCAACCCTGTCCCCTTGTGCTTGCGTGCAAAGGTGAACACACTTGTTGGCCCTGCGCACACGCAAACAGCAATCGTTCCACACATGTGAGGTATCACTGCGAACGTCAGATCATGGGCAGTAATTCTAGCACCAGACCGCCTTTGTAAATCTAAAGTGGTAACCTGTAAATGCTTTTGAAGCATTGCAGGTGAATAGTAAAATTTACATCTTTTGTTGACGTTGTATGGGCGGATGCAATTTTAAAGCATGACACACTTGGTATCTGCCTCATTTGTATTTTACAAAAAAAAAGTTTCCCCAAAAAATTGCATTTAAAAAACCACTGCACAAATACTGTGTGACATAAACCTTAGCAAAACCCAATTTATTCTCTAGAGCCTCTGCTGTAAAAAAAAATATATAGTGTTTGGTGGTTCTAAATAATTTTCTAGCAAGAAAAACTGATTGTTACATGTAAACAAAATGTGCCAGAGAAGGCCTGGTTTAGAAGTGGTTAAACATCAACAGCAAAGTCATTCGATTGTAAGCTCTTTTCAAAGACACAAACAGATGTAATAAAGACCAAACTATTTCAAGCAAACCTGTACTTTCCCCATTCAGAGTATTGGCAGAACAGCCGGTAGATGAGCCAGACCAGGGCATATGGTATAGAATGGTATGCATCCAAAGATCCTAAACCCACAACAATAGAATCAGTTTGTATATGCAGTATAGCATGTTTGTTGTGCTCACTGTGGAACCTAAGGGGTTAATCCTCTGCATTGTGTGAAAAGGTTGTTCCTCTCTTCTCTGATCCTCCCTTTCTTCCACTGTCTCCAATCTGTCTGCTGATAGAACAAAGCCTTGGGGGCAAGCTGCACATGCTCAGTCTGGTTTGTATTGCTAGAGAGGTTTTATTTTTCTTTGGGGGGTGCATGTGATCAGCACAGGGCCAATCAGCACTGTCCAGACAGAGGGTCAGAGGTCCTGTAGCCTCATAGGACAATCAGGGGAGAATGAAAACTCCTACAGTGCTCTACTGGACACTAATAGAAGTCACAAGACTGCTGATGAGAAAAGGTATTTAGCAGTTTATATTTACTAAAATAATTGCATTTCCGTGTTCTGTGTATTGTAAGAGACCAGATATAGTGATTGTAGGGTCCTGGGAGACCAGAAATAGTGAATGCGGGGTCCTGGGAGACCAGATATAGTGAATGCAGGGTCCGGGGAGACCAGATATAGTGATTTCAGGGTCCTGGGAGACCAGATATAGTAAATGCAGGGTCCTGGGAGACCAGATATAGTGATTTCAGGGTCCTGGGAGACCAGATATAGTGAATGCAGGGTCCTGGGAGACCAGATATAGTGAATGCAGGGTCCTGGGAGACCAGATATACGAAATGCAGGGTTCAGGGAGACCAGATATAGTGAATGCAGGGTCCTGGGAGACCAGATATAGTGAATGCAGGGTCCTGGGAGATCAGATATAGTGAATGCAGGGTCCGGGGAGACCAGATATAGTGAATGCAGGGTCCTGGGAGACCAGATATAGTGAATGCAGGGTCCTGGGAGACCAAATATAGTGAATGCAGGGTCCGGGGAGACCAGATATAGTGAATGCAGTGTCCGGGGAGACCAGATATAGTGAATGCGGGGTCCGGGGAGACCAGATATAGTGAATGCGGGGTCCTAGGAGACCAGATATAGTGAATGCAGGGTCCGGGGAGACCAGATATAGTGAATGCGGGGTCCAGGGAGACCAGATATAGTGAATGCGGGGTCCGGGGAGACCTGATATAGTGAATGCAGGATCCAGGGAGACCAGATATAGTGAATGCAGGGGTCCTGGGTTTAGTAACACTTTAATTGATTAAGTTCATCTTATGGTTTCATGGACTTTCCCTGTGTTCTATGGTGTTGTCCCACAATCCTAAAACATACTGAACAGTTTATTAGATTCTAGCCTTACCATATGTACTCGTCTTTACGTCAATGGCAAAGTCAGTTGATTGTAAGCTGTTTTGGAGGCACAAATAGATAAATTAAAGGTCAAACTAAAGCTGGCTATAGACGGTTCAGATTTCAGCTGGTTCAGCAGGAACTGGCCGAGATAGGAACCATATATGGGCAGGCTGAATGTACCCAAGTGGTCGATCGATCAGCTTGGGTGCAACCAGCCTGATGGATTTTACATGCGATTATCGCTAATGGCTGTAATTGGCACCTTCTACGGCCTTCCTAAATGATACCTCCCTGTGAAAAAATGTTTATCATTAACGTAGAGTGGCCCTTGAGGTTGTAACAGTAACTGATAAGTTATCATGGACTTTTATCTTTGCCTGAGGCTGTCATTTATCAATGGGTCTAAAATAATCACAATCCTCGTAATAGAGAAGCCGGTAAATGTTTGGTGATGTCTGAGGCTGACGCAATAAGGGAACGGTGTTTACGCTGCAGGCATTAGATCTGTGTATAATACAGCAGCGCGTGCGTGTGTGTGTGGGGGCTGCTGCTGTCAATGCAGATCTGCAGGCTGAGAAAACACTGTCTGCACTGTGTTCTAATAATACAAGGACATCCCGAGCCCCTTTCCTTCCTTCGTGTGCATTGCACTGCCCTAGGACCTAAAGCCTTCCTGCTCTCACTATCAAGCTTTATTTTGGTGTCTAGGATTCTGTAGATTGCCTGCCATTGCCCTTAGTGGGTAAAGTCACCCCCTGCTCAGGTGTATATCTAAAGCTGGTCACCTACATACCTGTTCTAACTTATTTTTTTTATTCAGTTCGAATTATTAGAAGGCCCCCATCTTGATTATGCAGTTCAATTTTGGGCACCAGTTAACAAAATGGATGGATACTGCGGATTTGGACAGAGCACACATTGCCACAGAGGATCTCTGGGAGCAAAGAGTAGCTAAAATGAATGTATTCTTCTTTGACAAGAGGCAATTAAAGGGTAAGTTCACTTCAGAACAAAGTGCAAATTTCTTGCACCCTTGATCTAACATAACTCACTTGCACCCCCCCACCACATATGCATATCCAAGGCTGTGGTTCTGCCATTTGTTTACACCCAGTAGTTCAAATTTTCACTGTTCTGACCATGCTTGGGCATTACAGTCCCATAGACTTCTTGGCCAGAGATGTTAGAAAACGGTCCCATAGATTTCTTTGGGGTGTAATGAGCAGGCACAGACAGTTGAGTTAGGGCAGGGCTCGCCAAACTTTTCAAAGGGCAAGTTTCATGTGCTTCAGACTTTGGGGGGGGATTGTGGCCAGTGGGGGTCGAAAATGTCCCGGGCCCAGCATGAGTGAGAATAAACATGGTCTCGGGATTGGTGGTCAGTAGGTGGAGTAGTGCCCCATCATTGGTATCAGTGGAAGAAATAGTTTCCCATCATTGGTATCAGTGGAACAAATAGTTCCCCATTGTTGGCATCAGTGGAAGAAATAGTGCTCCTTTGTTGCAACTTAGTTACATTGATCCAGCTTGGAGCTTATGCCCCGGCACGCTAAAAATCAGTAAAGCAGACCACCGCTACTCCAATGATCTCCACTTGCTTTTGGGTCCCAAGTGCCAACTGGCTACCCTGTTGTATTCTGAACATATGACATCACCCACACACATTTTCTCAATTAATGCAAAGCTTTCTTTGATTGGACGAAGGTGAAGTGTCACACTTTCCACCTTTTCCTATCAGAGAATGCTTTGCATTCCTTCAGAAAATGCATGCAAAGTGTTCTCTGATTGGACAAGGTAAGAGGTAGGGTGGTGATGTTACAATGTCCACCTCATCCAATCACAGAACGCTTTGCATTCATTCAGAAATTCCATAGCATTCTCTGAATGAAGATCACTGGAGTAGTGATATCTACTTCAGACATGGCATACACAAAGTTTATTTATTACAGGTACTTATATAGCACCATCAATTTACACAGCGCTTTACATATATTGTACATTCACATCAGTCCTTAACCCTCAAGGGTGTACAATCTAAGGTCCCTAACTCACATTCATACATACACATACTAGGGCCAATTTAGTCAGAAGCCAATTCACCTACCAGCATGTCTTTGGAGGGTGGGAGGAAGCCAGAGTACCCAGAGGAAACCTATTCAGGCATGGAGAACATGTGCCATGGTTGGGATTCAAACCAATGACCCAAGAGCTGCTAAGCAGAAGTGCTAACTACTTAGCCACTGTGATGCCTGTAGTTACATTGGTTCAAGTTGAATCAATGTAATTATTTATAAAACATCCATACCTGTAATCCTTTAAATTACGAAATGGCTAGTCAAGCATTTATTTATTTATTTTTGTGAAAGTGGTGGTTTCCTTTCACTTTTATTAAAATAAATTACACTTGAAAACAGTGGATGACATTCCCGTTTAAGGATTTTTGAGTAAAACCACTGGCCACCACATTAACAGAAGTACCAGATTTTGGGACTCTTGAGCGACATATGTTGTGTGCTTACTTAGCGGCTCAGGGGAGTTGACTGCCTGTAGCAACAAGCCTTTCATCAAAGTAATACAGATAAATGACTCTTGCTCGAAAATTAGTGAAGACTGCTGGGTGCAGCTACCTCTCATTTTCTTTAATATACTCTGGGGGGGATTTGATACTGAAAATAGTACAAATTAGCCAAAAGTGGCCCATGTAAAACTCAGCCATAATTATACTTCGAATATCTGTGAGAAAGAGGGGCGTTTAAGGGCATGTAAAAAATACAGAGGTTCCTGTGTCATTTGTTTTAAGGCAAGAAACTGGTCATTAGAGAAATATAAGTGCTTCCAGAGCATTTTCTGAAAATGCCAGGAACAAGTATGCAGCAAGTGAAAACAGAACTCTTGATCTGAATGTTTGTTCCTGTATAACGTCACTGCATCTCTTGTCACGTGTTCATTTTTATTGAATGCTGAACTCAAGGCAGACAGAAATATCCCATGTGTATGTAACTGCAGCCCCTCCATATTCCTTGTAGCTTTCTGGCAACTCCTGGCTGTCATTTTGACAGCTGGGGCTTGTTTTATTTACACAGAAGCAGTTCTGTCTGAACTGACACTCTCAGAAAGTATCTACAGCAGCCTTTCTCAACTATTTTACCCCAGAGGAGCTCTAAGGCTAGGTTCACATCTATGCAGGTTGCAATTGATTCATTTTTTCCGGTGTGTTGCACTGCATTTTGCGTTTTTCAGCACGCATATTTGCTGCGTTTTGCTTTTTTTTGTTTTGCTAATAGAAAAGTGTGACAGTTCTGTTCTTGTAGTGTGGCTTTGATTTGACTTTGATGTGACTTTACTCTCTCTGGCATTCAAGTAGCATCAAAGTAGTTCAGGAACATTTATTTGACCAAAGTCACATGTTAGGGTTAGAATTAAGGTTAATGGCTAGGGTTAGAGTTAGGGTTAGGGTTAATAGTTAGGGTTAGAGTTAGGGTTAGGGTTAATGGTTAGGGTTAGAGTTAGGGTTAGGGTTAATGGTTAGGGTTAGAGTTAGGGTTAGGGTTAATGGTTAGGGTTAGAGTTAGGGTTAGGGTTAATGGTTAGGGTTAGAGTTAGGGTTAGGGTTAATGGTTAGGGTTAGAGTTAGGGTTAATGGCTAGGGTTAGAGTTAGGGTTAATGGCTAGGGTTAGAGTTAGGGCTAGAGTTTGGGCTAGGGTTAATGGTTAGGGTTAGGGTTAATGGCTAGGGTTAGAGTTTGGGTTAGGGTTAATGGCTAGGGTTAATGGCTAGGGTTAGAGGTTAGGGTTAGAGTTAGGGCTAGAGTTTGGGCTAGGGTTAATGGTTAGGGTTAGGGTTAATGGCTAGGGTTAGGTTAGGGTTAGGGTTAAGGGCTAGGGTTAGAGTTAGGTTTAATGGCTAGGGTTAGGGTTAATGGCTAGGGTTAGAGTTCAGGTTAGGGTTAATGGCTAGGGTTAGGGTTAATTGCTAGGGTTAGAGTTAGGATTAATGGCTAGGGTTAGGGTTACTGGCTAGGTTAGGGTTAATGGCTAGGGTTAGAGTTCAGGCTAGGGTTAATGGCTAGGGTTAGAGTTAGGGTTAGGGTCAATGGCTAGGGTTAGAGTTAGGGTCAGGATTAATGGCTAGGGTTAGGGTCAATGGCTAGGGTTATCATTAGGGTTATGGTTAATGGCTAGGGTTAGGGTTAATGGCTAGGGTTATCATTAGGGTTAGGGTTAATGGCTAGGGTTAGGGTTAATGGCTAGGGTTAGGGTCAATGGCTAGGGTTAGCATTAGGGTTAGGGTTAATGGCTAGGGTAAGAGTTAGGGTTAAAGTAATCATTAGGGTTAGCGTTTCAACCCTAGCAATTACTACTAACCCTAACTGTATCTCTAACCCTAATCCTAGCATTTAACCCTAACTCTAACATGACACTTTGGTCACATACAAAATTCCTGCAATACTTTGATGCGATTTTGATACTACATGAGTGCCAGAGAGTGTAAAGTCGCTTCAAAGTCGCACTACATGAACAGAACTGTCATACTGTTCTTTTAGCAAAAGAAAAACCCCAAAATGAGGCAAAAATGCAACAGTTGCATTTTTGGGCCGGGCCAATTTAAGTCTGTTACATGAAAAATGAAATCTGTGTGGAAAAAAAGTCCCCACACTGGCTCAAAATGCACAGATGTGAATTAGATCTCTAGGAAATCTTGTTAAATGGACTGTAGGACATTTCTG